TCTGCATCCGATCGACTACATGGGTCACACATTTTACTCAGAATCCGACATAGCAGAAATTATAGCAAGCAACTTAAGTAAAGTTTTCAATAAACACGAAAAAGAAAATTCCGAACACGAGGAAGAAGTTAAGGAAGAAATACCGTATTTAAGCGAATCTAATGCGCCATCAAATCTAATGCGCATCCCCATTTTAAAACTTTAAATAATAAAAAAATTGTTTGTCGGCGAATGTAATGCGCATCAATGATATGAGGAATTTATTGAATCTTATTTTATACAACAATGGATTTGTACATAAACTATCAATTAATGTTATGATAATTTTATTTAAATTTAGATACCATATTTTATACAACAATGGATTTATACATAAAGTAGCAGAACATAGAATTAACCTATTAGTGGGCTATTGTCATGTGAAACAATCATTGTTAATTAGCACTACCGTATATACGGTACCTATCGTAAAATATGAACATGAAATAAATCGTAACATTTCTATCTAGCTAACAGTTTCTACAATCAGTGATTAATAGTAAACGTCTTTATTCACTAATGTTTTCATCACTGGAATCCTCGCAGCTCTCTTCGTCAGAAGCAGATTCATTTCTTCTTTCCTCATCATCGTCATCGTCATCCTCGGCGTTCCAGAGCACGTCATCGTCACTGCCATTCAATGAATTTGAAATGCAGCATTTCTTGAAAGATTTCACAATCATTGGTGCTTCGATGCTTTTCCAGGCAGCAGAAACCCAGTGTGCAACAATGTGCGGTGCAGCACGCTTAATTTTTCCTGTCGGGGTCAATACACGGTTTGGCTCACAAAACCATTTTTCGTACTCCGCCTGAACGTACCCCTTAAAAGGTTTATTTATACTAACGTCCAGGGGTTGTAACACAGACGTCATCCCTCCAGGAATGATAACAAGATCACTGCCTAGGCTGTGCATCTTCTTTTTTACGTCGTCGGTGAGATGACCACGAAATGCGTCCAGACAAAGCATTGATGGTGGATTAGAGAGCCCACCGGGACGGCGTTTCCATACATTTCGGAGCCAATCAAGCATTAATGATTCCGTCATCCACCCCTTCTCTTGGTTTCGAATCAGGACATCATCTGGGAACAGCTTTTCATTCTTAGGGGTTTTAGGGCATGTTTTCCGTTTGAAGATTAAGAAAGGGGGAAGTTTGCACCCGTCTGCTGTTATTGCCAGCATCACTGTTACGCGTTGTTTTTCACATCCCGAAGTTTTGATGATAACTTCCTTAGTCCCCTTCTCCGTAATGGTGTAGTTACGAGGCATATCAAACCAAATTGCCGTCTCGTCAGCGTTGCCAATTTGCCCCATTGAAAAATTCTTTTCTTTCCGAAGTGTGATGACATACCGCTGAAATGTTAGTAGTTTTCCCTCAAAATCTGCAGGAAGCTTTTGGCATATTGTTGTACGGCGTCTTAGAGATAAACCCATCCGCTTCATAAACCGATCCACCCATCCACGGCTAGCCTTAAACTCTTGTTTCGGTATTCCAAGAACTTCAGCCTCCTCTTTTGCTTTATTTCTTATGGTGTCACTAGTCACAGGTTGTCCATTCTTCCTCCTTTCACGTACAAATTCCAAAACGTTTTCTTCAATTTTAGGGTGTCTTCCTTTGCGAGGGCCAGTGAAATTCTTTCTACTAGCTTTAGTTGCAAACAGTGCCAATTTCTGTTGCCGCCACAAGCGAACATTGCTCTCAGCTACGTTGAACTCTCTCCCTGCTTTTCTATTGCCATTTTTTTCAGCATAAAGAATTACTTTATGTTTGAAAGTAGCGTCATATGACATTCTTCTCTGTTTGCCCTCCATTTCGTGACTACGTACTCTGCAGTTTGTATCCTCTATACAATAATGTGTCAACGATAAATGTAACGGTAAATGTAGTCGAGAAATTTGGTTGACGTCATCGGCGAACTTTGCACTCGAATCTAATGCGCACCCCAATTTTGAATACTACATTTGGCCAAAAACGATGCGCATTAGATTCGCGTAAGTACGGTAGTTAATATAAAATCCCGGCATAATTCTAACTTCATTAAATTCACTTCTCCAAACGAAGTTCAAAGCATTATTAAAAAACTCAAAAAACGGAAAGCAAGAGGGTACAACGTAAACAATGAGGCTCTGCAAGCACCTCCAAGAAACTGTATTGTGTTACTTTGTAACATATTTAACGCATGCATTCGACTCACACAATTTCCCTCAGCAGTGGAAGTGGAAGCATTCAATTATAATTACGATACTAAAACCAGGAAAAAAAAAACCCCCATGAAGTCACAAGCTACAGACCGATTAGTTTACTCCCGGCAATAGGAAAAGGTTTTCGAGAGAATTTTAAATGACCGTTTGACTACTACTCACCTTGAAAGATTGAAAATTATTGACGAAAACCAATTTGGATTTAGGAGAGGCCATTGTACCACACACCAAATCCTAAACTTAATAGAATATATTGCTCTAAATTTCCAGAAAAAGACCGCAGTCGCTGCATGCTACCTCGATTTCGAAAAAGCTTTCGATCGAATGTGGCATGCAGGACTTGTGTACAAGCTTTCAAACTGCATACTTCCTAATAGTTTTCTAAAACTGATTATTTCATTTCTCAAAAGAAGAACTTTTCAAGTTAGATGCGGTGATTCTCTCTCCAGCAAAAAGTAATGTACAAAGGCGTCCCACAGGGAAGCGTACTTTCGCCAAAATTATTTTGCATTTTTGTCAATGACATGCCTCAGCCTTTCTCTTCAACTGGTTTAAAGTATGCTGATGACACCGTGGTTTTAACTAACTCCCTGATACCTCAAAATGCTGTAGACAAGCTGAAGTACCAAATTAATGAAAAAAATGCATGGTGCAAGCTATAGAAGATTAAAGTGAACCCTTCTAAATGTAACATAGTGATTTACAGACGGTATGAAAAATTGTTCTCGCTTAATATTGACGTAAAAATTGACAATATCCCAATTCCTGTTGTAAATTATTACAAATATCTTGGAGTGCATATTGATAGAACTCTCTTTTCATGATCATGTGACCTACGCGACCAATAAAGCTAATGCAGCATTCATGGCCATCTACCCGTTATTAGGACTAAATTCTAAATTGGATTTAAAGATTAAAAAAACACTTTATATCACCTTAATTCGCCCAGTTTTATTGTATGCCGTACCGGCCTGGGCTACAGCAACGAAAACAGACAGATAGAAGATGAATGTGTTACAAAACAAGATACTTTCGATCTATTACAAACGCTCCCTGGTTCAATAAGAAACTCGCAGCCCTATGAAGAGGTTAAAAATTCTACCAATTCAGGAACAGATTCTGACCACAGCACACATTTTTTTCAAAAGTACGCAAAATTCTCCATACTCTGCCATAAGAAATCTTACTACCTACGATCCCACTCAGGAGAGTGTTGTAAAACGCCCACGTTCAATCCACCACAACCCACGGTGGTAGTAATGTACATAATGTAAATATTTCGTATTTTTTTTTCCGTATCTTATTTACTCACTTTTTTGTCTAGTTTGTGTTTAGTGTTTTGCACCAAGGACTGTGATTTTTATAAATCATCTTGACAAAGCAAAATGTGCACCGTTTTTGGTTTTTGTGTATAGCCAAGTTTGGTGTTTTTTTTTTTTTTTTTTTTTTTTTTTTTTTTTAAATGTGCTTTTCGTGTTTCTTCAACGGACTAGATTTTGCAAAGCCATTGAACTGTGTAATTTAAATATTTACGAACGTGGAAATTATTTACTCTCTGAAGTTCAGTTAAAATAATCCCAGCTAAATTTTTTTTTAAATTGCATGTATTTTAGATATCAGCTTTTTACGTCTCATCATCATAATCGCTCTGCTTAAAGCAAGGATCAATCTGAATTTGACTTTATGTCATGTGAGTTTACGAGGTACTTGTTTCTCCTGCTCTATGCACGCTCGCGTAGCTGCTAACTGTGTGTAATGACTTCAGCCGCACTTACTCATGTATTTACGAAGGCATTATTGCTTAAATGGACTAATTTCAGCATTTTGTTTAAATGCTTGAACTTTCACGAAGGAATGATTTTCCTGACTTGCCACCAGTGTTTCTTAGTTTTTCGTCCCCTCGACCCGCACACAAGACAGTTTTCCTTTAATTGAAAAAAAAACATAAAGTAACAGCCCAAGAGCCAAGATATCTACTGGTGATTACTCTTTGTAGTAGAGGCCAGACTTTAAATTTACGATCCAGATCCAGCTTATCCTTGCTTGTACTTACTTCTGTGCTTGTATTACTCTGCTTATGCTTATCTCTGCTTGCTTGTATGTCCTGGCATGTAACTCTGCGTGTATCTCTGCATATCTCAGTAATAAATATTTGCTTTGCGAACCACGGCATTTTCTATGTTTATGTTGGGCTCATAAAATTCGCTTAGGTGAGATTTTCCTGTATACACATTGTAAAGAATTTTCCTCTTCCTTTCCCATTTGATGATTTAATTTATCTCACGTATGGTTAGAAATCGGAATATCAGTTTTCTGAATCCCAGTAACGACATCGCCAATTTCTTCTCTTCCCTAGCTTTTAAAAATTCTAATTTGCTTTAAAGCTGCGCTCAATTAAAATGCAATGAATTATAATTTGTACATATGTGGATTTGGCTACTAGATTCCCTAACTCCCTACTCGCTTTTCCAGTGGTAAAAGAGGAAGTAATTTTCTCTTTCCCCACTGTGTTCCTTTGTGATGCAATTGGTAGCACGTTTCCAGTAATTCGGAAAGCCTGGAGTTCGAAATCTCGGTGAGAACACTGCTGGTTTTTCTTATTCCTGCTTCAAAAAGCCTGATAGACTTTGCAACATTTATAGTTTTTCTCGTGATTGGCATAAACGTCAGCCCTATTCAGCCGATAACAACCAAAAGAAGTATTTTTGGAAGAAAAATTGCAATCATCAATTACTCGCCTATTCGTGAAAAACAAATGAATCAAGCTTTGAACCATTTTGTATCATTGTCTTTGTAAATAAACTTTGAAACACAGACTTTAACAATAAAGGAAAAAAAAGAGAAAAAATTATAAAATTTACATACCTGCTTTTAGTCTTTGATATTCTTTGGATTTTGTCGATAAATATAATGACATATCGCTTATCCGCTCCAGTTCTTCCCAATTTTGTCTTTGTCTAGCCCAAGATGGAATAATTAAATTATATGTCTTCTGAAATAAAGAAAATTTATATTGTAAGAAAATATTTTCATGATCTTTCGACATAGAATTTAGTGAACTTAGAGATTCAAAATAAACGTCGATAAAATTTTAGGAAGAACATTTTTATTTAGAAAGCAGATATTACACACACTGGCCAATGAATTAGAAACCCAAAATCAATATGTTAGTTGGACCACCTTTTGCACGGATAACTGCTCTTATTCGTTTGGCCAACGATTCTACGTGCTTCTGGAGAACATTTGCATCCAGAGAATACCATGTATTGGCTATGCAGCATTTTAGATCTTGCAAATTAGATGGAAGAGGAGATTTCTTTCGGATGCCTCTTTCCATCATATCCTATACATTTTCTATAGGGTTAAGATCCTATACATTTCTATAGGGTTAAGATCCTGGCTTGCGGTGGCCAGGGAAGGTGCTGGAAGTCAGACTTATGTTCAGCGTTCAGCGAACCAATTTTGAACGTTTCTGGCACCATGTATAGTTGCATTATCGTCCAAGAAGTATCCGTCGCCATTAGGGTAAAAATGCAACATTCTAGGTGCACGTTATCAGCCAAGATATCTAGGTATCTTATGATTGTTTGTTTGCCCTCGAGGAACACCTGGGCCAGTACATTCATGCCAGCAGAACTGCCCTATATCATGATACTCCCACCAGACCCTTGCACAGTACGAGCAAGACAAGATAGCTTCTTGGCTTCATCGGGTTCTCGCAAAATTCGACGTCTTCCATCAGTGCAAAATAAGGTGTAGCCAGATTTGTCCGACCACATTCCCGTTTTCATTCCTCAGATGTCCAGTGTCTTCTTTTCCGACACCACTGCAAACGAATTCTTGAATAACGGGCAGAAATGAGTGGTTTTTCTCACAGGTACCCGACTATGCATTCCTATCCTCTGCAATTATCTGTACATGGTTCGAGCTCAAAGCTGTTGGAAGAGCCTTGGTTGACGATCTGTGTCACTTGAAGCATAGTAGAGTGTCTGTTCTCTCTTATAATTCGTCGTAGACGCCGTCGATCACTATCCTGGAAAATTGTGCTCGAACCTCAGTCAAGTCTCGCAGAGAAGGAATGGGGGTTCTGATTTTAACTTTTAAAACTCTTTGACATGGCTACTTTTTGGGAACCCAGTGAGATTTGCTGTCTTCTAAATCGAGACCGCTGCTAAAGGGGCACCAACAATAAGCCCTTTTTCAAATGGTAAAAGAGATGTCGATTTTCTCATTTTACTTCATTCATCGTGAAAAGCACTCTTAAACTTCACTTATACTAGCATTCTAACCACGTGTAACCCACGTTATAAGAAATATTTGCATACTTCATCCCAACACGCATTCAAATGAAAATCTCAAGGGTTTCTAATTCTTTGGCCAGTGTGTGTATATGCATCTGCCTTTATAATATGGAGTAAAAAAAATTAACTTTGTATATAGGACAGCTAGTATAACATGCAGATGTGCACCTCCTATTTTAGTTGCAATCGGCCACACCAAAAGTATATAAATATGTGTGTATATATATCCACTCTGTTACTCGGCTCAGTGAGCTCAATTTCTTTATTCTTATATGTTTGTAAATTGTACATTTTTTGCTTTAAAAATGATTTAATTATATTATTCTTATCTCAGTTACGCTTTTAATATCTTCAGTTAATCTGCCCTATAATAATTGTAGTATAATCAACAATTTAAAAGTTTTCTAAGTGCGACTAAGCAAATAGAACAGTCATATTTGTTTACATTTGAAACTTAGCAGAATACCGAATTCAGTTTCTGCATCTTCAGCATCTTTTTGCCGAGTGGGACTAAAATGAAATTTTTAGTTTCGTGCACCGAAACATTTGCCTCCTTGCCCGCTGGCCGAATTGGTTGTTTTTGAGCAAAAACTCTATAATTTTAATTGTAAAAAAATTTTTTAACTGTTTTAATTGCATTTGGTGTTTTATGTTTTTCTATATTTTTCAATTTTTAATGAAGATGTCTTGAGTTTTTATGTATTGTTATTTAGAATTTCCCAAAATATACGTGAATTTATATATTGGCGCGTTTTGAAATTTGAAATATTTGTTATAAGCGATAATAACGCCAAATATAGTTTACGCACTTTATTGAAATTATTTGAAAGAATGAATGAAGCACCTTTCTTTCCCTTCGTGTACTTCGAAAGGGAAAGGGAAATAGGTTGCCACAAATAAAAATTTTCGCCAGTTAAATTATTCATGACACAAACTGAAAACGATGTGCCAAAATAAATTTTTAAATTTCTCGGTAAGTTTCACGCTAAAACTTACAAAATTGAATATTTACGCATAATTTGAGTTGTAGAACTGAAATACGGAAATTAGTATATCATTTCTGGAAAAGTCCGATTTTGTGTCAAAACATTTAGGTGAGAACTAAACGATGTATATAGCTAACATATGTAAGAAGTTGCGCTTTGGAGACATGAAAATTACAGAAAAATTTCGTCAATCGGCCCAGTAGAAAGCGAGATATAGAACTGGGGTTTCCCCCCCCTTTTTTTTTTTTTTTTTTTTTTTTTCACATATTGTTGGCTATGTTAATTCCCTATATTCCATTGTAATGAAGTTCTTTAAACGGAAATTGTGGTAATAATAAAACAGTGGTCAGGAAGAGATAGAAATATACTCTAATCCTAATTCACTTCATCCTTTCTCTCTTGGAAAAAAATAATTGTCATATGAACTATGAATTTATTCAAAATTTTTACAGAATTTGTTAGACCTTGCAGAATCTCAAACGTTTCTGATAAAACAAGAATTCCAAGGCATAATTTGATTTGAAACTTACTTCCATAGACAAAATATCGTACAAGGCTGCTGCATCTGCCCAGGTTTCAATTTTTAATCCGCTGCGATATGACAAATATTGGAAAAATTTCTGAAAGTTAAAATAATTGAGTTTTAAAACACATTAATAATATTGTATACACTATAATATTCAGTTTTACACCGTCTGATATATTGCACGGATTGCTATACGTATTCATGCCCATATTTGAAGATATTCCTATGAAATATTATAAACACTTAAAAATGTTTATATTCCTTATGTAATAAATAGTGTACGGCAGGAGTCGACAACCTTTTTTATTTGCGGGTCAAACTCAACCAAAATGTGTATTAGAAAGATTTCCGGTCAGTAGTATTTCATTTTAGAACTGTATTTCTTGGTGAATAATAAGACAGATTTTATTGAGAAAATGATTACAATATGCTTTAAAAAATAAATTTAAAATTATAATTATTATAAAAACAAATTTAAATGAAAAATTTTATTTTTCTCTTCGATATCAATGGCTTCCCTTATGGTAAACTTCTGACATCAATTAAGTCAGTTCAGTCATCAATTAAGTCAGTTCTGGCTTATAGTTAGTCATCTTAAATTCAAGCATCAGAATTTTCAGTAGTTAAGGTGCTCTTGTTCTTACTTAAAATAAATTTCATGTGTGAAAATATTTGCTCGCATTTATACGTTGAACCGAATGCGAGCAAAATGGAAAGCCAGTTTTTTAGAATTATGCATTATGGACTGGTGCTGCCAAAGTTACCGATTTCGCTTTAAAATTATGTTACAAATTTTATTTTTTAAAAATAAAAGTGCATGTTCGCTACTGCAACTTTGTAAGCAAATAAAAAATGTTATTAGCCCAAATGGACGTTAGACCAGAAGGGCTATTAGTGTCGAAACGGCATTTTGCGTTGAAACTCTACAAACGGCTACTTTTCAAATTGTTGCCATTATATTTAAAGAAACTAAATAATGAAGAATCTTCATGAATGTATGTATGTTTCTCGCACTGTGATAAAACAACGATGCCTAGAGTCATCTAGGTGTTGTTGTCATCAGTTATTTTCCATTTTATTATATATTCTTCAAGTGCTCGCTTCATATTTATGTTTTAAAATTTATTTTTATATATAAATCTTTATTTTCGAAATTCAAGTGAGTCACTTGAAATTATGAAATGGATCACTCAGTGAGTGACCCGCAGGTCAGAATACCAAGGCCTACTGTCCGAGGACACTGCTTCTCAACTTAAATAATAATATTCCTCTATATAGTGATATAGCCTACGCATCTACGCTAGTACTTTTCGTCCTCTTATCAACGTAAAGCACAAAATTCCTGACATGCATCAATATTCTGAATATAGCGCGTCTGTAACATAGCATTGAGCTTTACTGCAGCAACAACGCATGCAGTAGTAGCCTGGAATATGCATCAAACTTTACATAGCTCAAGCATAATTCTTCTATTCATAAATTAATGAAAATTTATACAAACATTCCTACTTACGACATTCTAAAGACGACACATCTTATTCCTTTCATGACCCATTTCAATAATAACTACGTTTAAGATGTATTAAAATTGTCATATGTGTATATGTATAATTAAAGCAGTAATTATTTTAACTATTCATCAATGCGTCATATTGCTTGTTAATGTATTAGCATTATATAATGATATATACATACATTTCTCAAAACTCCTTGTCCTGCCTTTATTTTCGCAACCGTTGGTCATAGATATATACTTCATACAAAAATATTTCAAATGACGCAAAGATTCAAGTTTATACGTTTTTAAATTTAACGACATCATTTTTGTAAAAATTAATGAAATTTAACTTTTTTACACTTTTCCTGTCTTTACAATATATTTAGAAAAACTGCATAGTTTTTTTAACAATAAAACAAGAAATTTTGACTCCCATTCAACAGAAATTGACCAAGATATTTGATATTAAATTCGGAGGTCACATTCAGTGGCCGTACACAAATTGAAGGGCGAAATGTTTGCATTTCTATATAACTAAACATAAGATATTGTTTAGAAAAAAGATTTCTGACGTTGAGAGATTATGTGACGAACATTTCTATGCAGATTATTATGAAAAATATTGATCGATATAATTTTTTAAAAAACGAGATCTTATTCCTAAAATCTAAAGAAGATTCGTTTCCAGAAACAGTAGTCAACTAGTAATATTATTCGCGTTAAATGAAAATGAAAAATATTTGTACTTTGATAACCTGTACTTGGTTATATTACGTGCACTTGTTTTCATTAAATTGGAATCATGACCTAGTGACCGTAAAAAGATTATCAATTTTTTACGGTTCGATTTCAAACGTCATGAGCATATTAATAGCACATTTTTAGATTCTGAAAACTTAAAAATTAGTTTTGCGGAAATATTTTCAGCATGTCAAATGTAACAAAGTTAAGACACTATTAAATCTCTGAAGAATATCATTAAATATGATTTAAGGGGGACAAAAATTTGCCTTGAACTATTCTAATTTATTTATTAACCGATCCCTTAATGCAAATTCAAAATGATATCAAATATCGCAAAGGAATGGGAAACAGTTACGAAACAATCATGAAAAGAACAGTTAAGATAAATTTTCAATCACAAATCTTCAGATAACTTTTTCATGACCATCTGATATATTATTAAACAATGTGAAATTCAGTTATTCATTAAACAATGTGAACCTGTATCAAGCTTCAAGAATATCATACTGAAAAAGAAAATATTGGAATATTTTTTATTTCTTTTAGAAGCATATCAAGCCAAAACGTTTGCATCTACCTACATCTGTATGTCAAACCCTCCCATACGAACCTTGTAACATCACTATAACCACATTGTGTAATGAATAATTTATCTCTCTGTGCAATATTTTCTACATTAATTACCACAATTTATTAATACATGACATTTGTATGTAACAACTTACGTCGAGAAAATCCTATGAGTATCATGTAAACATGTACATGTAAAACGTATACTTCTTCACAAAAGTCAGTACCTTCAACACATCATACAATACAACAAATATGTACAATGAATTCTTGGAAAACATAATATATTTTGAGAACAGATATAATTTTACTCTATTCATTGCACTATTAGACACATTTGCTGACAGGTGACTTTCTTCTTCTTTCTTCTTCTCTCAATCTTTTATTTAAAGGCTCTCTTTTATTTAAAATTACTTTTAACAAGGGCCTATTGTTTATTTATTTTTTGTCCCATGTGTTCTACCATGTCTGGTCTTTCAAATTCACATAAAAAAGTACAAGATTATCTTTCTTATTTTTAAAAGTACGTGCTGTGTATATTCCTTTCCTTCATACCTAAGCTTGATTTTTCGCCCTGTGGGGGAAAGATTTACCAGCTGCGGAACAAGACATCTGTTTACTTTGACTGTCTCTCTGTCAGCACACTAGTTAAAACCATAGAGCTGTAATGTAAACAACGCACATCATCTACACGGCACGAACTTGTAATATAAAACATCTTCCTATGAAAAGATGAATTTTAGAATTTCTCTGAATTTTGGTAGCATTTTTCATGTTTTAAATTTCTTCTATGCCTCATCAAATTAGTTGGTGCTGATAAAAAGAACATGTATTTTCTTGCATGCAGTGTCGTAAAAGACTGAAAAGACAGATAATGAAAACAAACATGTTGCTAAACCTAATCTATATATATAAAGAAGAAAGTCTGTGTGTTTCTCCTCTAATTTTAAACTCAGTCACTACTATAGCTATCGTCGCCAAACTTTCTACGATTCTTTTCTTGGTCCTGGAAAAGGTCAACGTCCACTTTTCTCCAAAAAAAGTAGCTAAAACCAGAGATATTAATTAAAAACTTGGAAAAACGATCCTCTTCGCCCTCATTTTTCTCATTGGCAACAGTCTCCCTAGCTGGAGGTGAAAATCTGCTTTATTTCGAAAGTACTTCCCAAATAATAAATAAAAAATTTCTAAGTTTTACGATGAAATAAAAATAGCATTGCCAAACATTAAATACATTCCTCACGATTCCAAAAATTCGTGGAAAGCCATTTCGACTACGTACGACTTTAATCAGCCGAGATATTAATTAAAAACTCCAAAAACATTAATTTTTGCACACATTTTTCCGACTGGCAACAGTCTCGCGAGTCGGAGATAAAAGTAAGTGTTACAAAATCTATATATATAATAAAGAATGTTTGTTTGTGAGTTTGTTTGTTCGCTTTATTCATTTTTGATCAATTATGATCAATTTTTGCCACATTGAATAGACTAATATTGGATGGAACCTGAGCTTTTACGACCATTTCATTAGAAAGACGAAAATCATTAAAAACTGAGCGCCATTGTTGCTGATATAATGAGAGAAAGAATAAGCTTATTTTTCAATTGATGATATTTTTTATGTGGATTCCATATCGCATCAGAGTGAAAAATGTATGACTATGAATCGTAGTTTTTGTATCGTTATTAGAAAAGGATTATAGCAGTATCGTTTTCTCTGTTGTTCGATGCATTACTCTCAATCAAATTTAACTGCCATCGGGTACTTCCGCTTGTTAACAAATAGTTTATAAATGAATAAATCAATAAATGCCAATTACGTTTTAATGCGCATGTATATTAGTGTATTTTTTTTAGCTTTTATTTCCGAGAATCAAGCATCTGGTAACTCAAATAGCATTTTGAAATTCTGGAAGATCGCCAAATATCTGATAAATATCATTATAATTAACATATTATTATTTTCTTATTTACAGCAATATGGCAGCTAATTTTTTTTTAACTCGAGATTTGCTCTCATTAGAAAAATAATTTGAGGAAGTTGTCAGACCATTTTCATTAATAACCCTACCAGGGATAAGTCATTCAAAAAAATTTTTCCTACCTTATGAGATTCTAAGAACGCTTTACCTTCTTCCAATTCTAATATTTCTGCCGCTGCTTTTCTTGCTGCAGAACATTCCATATCTGTTCCTAAATACTAAGATGGGAAGTATTGATTAGAATATATATATAATAGTTGTTATTTTAATACATTATTTATCACTTAAACCAGAAAAGTCAACGTAAAAAATTTAGTACAAAAAGGAGGTTTTCAATTGCTTTTGATTTTAAAAGCCTTTTTGGCGAGAAAGAAATCGTCGATTTTAATCAGAAAAGTACTTAAAGGGCTGTAGAGTTGCGCGCCTCCACCTTGCACGCAACCAAGAGGTGACTGTTGAAACTGGAAAAATAGACAGAGTCTTGCTAAGGGTTTAAGTCCCTTTTTATTCAACTTAAGAAGTTACAATTGCGTGCCCTTGACGCTCACAAACTACGCCGACCCGGCGGTAAAATAAAAATAAGACTCTGAAAAAGAAATAATAACAAGACTCTAACTATGAGGCTCTCTAAAAGTAACTAACCTCACCGCGTTTTACAATACCGCTGCTACTTCAGCAAACTTTGAATATCACGTTGAACGATTAACAATTCTCCAAGGCAAGCACCACAGGCCGAAACGCGGGGTTCTTCAATTTCTGGGCTAACTACCTCCCCGCGCTCGTGAAGTAAGAACAGCACACTTCGAACTCGTTTCCTTTCTATTTAACTCAGAATACTTCCGCTGATAATATGAATCCTTGCGCATTCTACTAAAATTTACATACTCTGGCATTGGCAGTTCCAGGGGAAAGTAAGGCTTGACAGGAAAGATAGTTTAAACTTAAAATAAATGTTAGTTAAAATAAATATAAACCCTACATTTGCCGCTGCCAGAATTTGGAAAACTTGGAAGCAGGTCTTACAAACGACCTGTTTTAAGTTTCTATAATTCTGAACTAACTCTCAAGAGCCTCGTTTACACAAAAACAAAATCTTATGTAACAAATTGTATACTAAATTTCTGTCGATACTTATAAATCTCTCTTCTTACAGCAACTTTTCCTGGACTTCATCAATAAATCTTGTTCTTTTCCTTCCAGCATCTGGAAGGAATGAGTATCAGTATCTTTCTAAATACATTATAATTTACACTTTCTTGACACTAATAAATAAATTTTTGTTTTTAAAATGATTCGTTTTCCTTAGTTACTGCTTAATTCACATTCATTCAAGTATTCAAACGTGATTTAACTTTAACTTTACCCTGGCTCTCCACCATGTGTGGTGTCAAACGGGAATATTCGTGTTTTAGTCTTGCAACACTTCCCCTAACAACCAAGATTTGTTAGAATTAGAATTCAACGACCAAATAGACACACCTTACTCGACATTCTACAAACTCGATGAGCTACTTTAACATTCTTAGAAATTCAAGTGTAAGTGGAGAACCCTACAAAACACATTTATTCTAACTTCCCCCTCATTCATCTTTAGACATGCAGGCTTTCGCTCTAAAGCATGATTTTATCTACAGTTTAATAGTTAAATTTTGAATTCATTGCTTTTCAGCATTTTACTTTTAGCATCTAAAATTTTATGCTTCTAGACTAAATTCTACTTTTACATAACATTCAAGTATTTACGTACATTTACAAAATTTTAATACATATGATTTTTATAATTTACCATAAAATGAATAAGAGGAAATAAATTTTTACTTTACTCATTCTTCGCCAAGTTGGCGGCACTGAAACTAAAATTCTTATTAATACAAGAATACGAAGTTATTTTTATCTTCGGCCAAATTTTGGCTTTAACATAACAGAATTAGTCTTTCGACCAACAGAAAATGCTTGTTCTTAGCTTTTATACTTAAAGAAAATAATACTTTTGCCTTAGCTAAATAAAAGTAAAACAAAACTAAGTCTCAACCGAGACATAGACATTGACTTCGTCAAAACATAGAACTTCGTACTTATGCATAACATTTCGGAACAAAAGAAAAAAAAAAAAAATTATAGAAGATTTTAAACTTATCTTTGAGTTTTCGATGATTGAAACTCCGTCATTCTTTTCTGGCAGAATTGTTCCCATGTTATAGGTTTCATGGACGTCAATCTTCTCCTTACTGACCTCCGAGTGTCGTCCACATTAGTTTTTCTTTTGCGTCCTCTGCATGCTGGCCTCTTGGCGGAGTAATCGTCAGGTTGTTGTCGTATTCGTTTTTCCATTGGACGGCTGGTCTTGACGTCCTCTGGTCTGGAGTCTTTCTTGAATTTCTTCTGTTGTTCCTGGTATTTTCGTTCCTCCTGCTGCCTTTTCAGTTTCCGGGAACGGCGGCCTTGCTTTGCACCTGACTCTATGGCCCTGGGAGCGTTCTCCTTGATGTATAATTTCTACTGCGATACGTTGTAAGTGGTGTTTTCCTCTTTACCAAGGTTTCTTTACGCGGCGGCTCTTGCCATTTCTTGTTTTTCTTAAATGCTGGAGTCTGAAAGTTTTTCATTTTTTCTTTTCGGTACCGTCGTCATGGGTTGTAGAAGGGCTAGGTCTTCTCTTCAGTTCTCTGCTTCTTGGTGGTGGAACAGTTGTTATTCTGGACCTTCTACTTCTTTTAGACTTGAGTCCTGAGAGAAACTTTTAAGGATTTCAAAATCATTTGGATTATAGTATTTTTTCACCTGGTCGGAACTTGCTTTACAGATCTTCCCCTCTCTCGTTCTTAAGGTACAATACGACTCCCTTTGATTTCCTGAATTATTACATAGGGGCCTTCAAATTTTGGAGCTAACTTTGCAGTGCAGTAAAATTGTCTGGGGCACTTGATAAAGAAAATTTCCGCTTCAATACTTTATCCCCAAACTTTAAAATCTGCTTTCACGGCGTTTTCGATAATCATAATAAAGCTTTTTGCTATTTCTTGCCGTATCCGAAGCTTTTTAATCGCCTGCCTGATGTCATTTCCAAGTTTTTAATCGCCTGATCTGTATGTAGTTTCTGTTGTCTTTTTGTTTAAAATCTTGCTTCTCTTTGTTGCACAAAGAATAATTTATCTAAAGGCGTAATTAACTTTCTGCCTAAAAATAATTCTGCTGGGTTTTTTTCCCGTCGTAGTATCGTGATTTGCCGTTCTTAAAGCATAAGCTAACTCATTTATGTAGCCATCCCAGCGCTTGTGATGTGTGCTAAAACGTAACTGCGAATTATTTTTACTATGTTTTTATTCAACTCTTTCTGCTATGTTTGCCTGTGGTCTATACGGAACCATTTTGATATGGCGTATGCCAAGTCCAGTGCATATGTTTTCAAATATTTGACTAATGAATTGTTTTCCGTTATCGCTAATGACTTTTATCAGTGCACCGTATTTTAAAATGTATCTGTGTAAGAATGCATCTGCGACTGTTTTGGCTGACGCGCGTTTAAGTGGAACAATTTCTGTCCATTTTGATAAATGATCTACTATTATTAAAGAAAACGATTTTTATTTAACTCGCTGTGGGGGAAGGGACCAAGAAGATCTATGCCTAAAATTTCATTCGGAAATGTAGCGCGAATGCTATTTAAGTACCCTGCTGGGCTGTAGTTAATATCATTTATTAACTGACATTGATTGCAGGACCTGACATACGCAGTTACTATTTTGTATAATTGCGGGAAATATACCGCCTCGCGTACCCTTTTTAAAGTCTTTCTGACCCCTATATGACCCGCTGTTTTCGCGTCGTGGAATTCCTTCAAAATGCTTAATCGAAGCGAGGCTGGGGTGACTGGTTTGTACTCGAGATTTTCGTTTGTTGTTTTCGTATAAAATAATAAATTATCTATTATTTCATAGTTTTCTGCTCTATTTCTTATCGCATCGATATCTGTGTGCTCAAAGCTTTCGGGGTCTTTCAAATATGCATAGATATTTCCAAATTCAGGATCAGCTTTCAGTTCAGTGATAATCGTATCTCTAGAATCCCGAGTAAAGTCTACCTACAGCCGGATGATCCGAAAAGACTGTTACTGGCGCTTTGCCGAAATAAACTCGAAATTTGTGTACAGCCATTAATACGGCTAATATTTCTCTTTCTGTAGCTGTATAATTCCTTTGTGTCTGATTCAACGTTTCACTAAAAAATGCCAGAAGATGGCTATTTTGCATAAGAACCGCACCCATCGCATAGTCTGACGCATCTGCTGCAATTTCCAGGTTTTCCTCCCCCTCCGGGAATTTCAAGACAGGGGCATCGATGAGCGCTTCTTTTAACCTTTCAAATGCGTGTATTTGCTTCCGCTGTCCACGTAAATTTACTTCTCTTTCTTTTGATTACTAAGAGTGGTTCAACAATATTAGCGAAAATCTTTTATGAACGACCGATAGTAAGAACATAACCCAAGGAAAGAAAATTTCTTGGCGGGGTGTTGGGCGGTGGGGAAATCTTGATGGCTTTTATTTTTTTTTTTGAATCTTGCGTTTCTATACCCTTTTGCGAAATTTTATAACCGAGATATTTAAGTTCTTTAGTTGCGAACTTGCATTTTGAGGCGTTAATTGTAAGACCGGCCTCTTTTAATAATTTAAAAAATTTCTAGATCTTTAATGTGTTGTTCCAACGTACTACTCGTTATAATTATATCATCTAGATAGATTAAAGTCGATTTTCCTAGGACAGGCTTTAGAACAAATGTCCATAGCTCTCTGGAATGTTGATGGGGGGGCCCCACACAACCCAAAAGGCATGCGTAAAAATGCATAAGTGCCCGATTTTGTTATAAACGCGGTTTTATGTATGTCTTCGGGTCTCATAGCTATTTGATAGTAGCCAGACATTAAGTCCAAAGTAGTAGACATGTATCTTGTAGATTTGATCTTTCTAATGATTTCCTCTATAACCGGCAAAGGGTAAAAGTTAAACTGGGAATTTAGTAATACTATTTAGTTTTCTGTAATGGATAGCAAACCTCCAAGCCCTTTTATCCGAAGGAGGAAACTCGTTCTTTTTCCTACATAGTACGACTGGACTCGCGTACTCACTATTTATGGGCGTTATTATTTTATTCTTTAACATCTCCTGAATATGTTCTTCGATGATTACGTCTTTTTGTTTGTCATAACGATAAGGTTTAGTCCTACAAGATTTTTCGGCATTTAATTGGCATAGTTATAAAATGCTTAACTGGCAACAATTACTAAGCCATTTAACAACCAGACTCGAAGAAAAGGAATATTAAATAAATCTTTTAAATCCCTTGGGGAGATGATTTAAATTAAAATCTCTAGTTATATTAAAGATATTTTCATTTGCTAAAAATCTTCTTCGTCAAATGGTTCTTTAAGCAGTTCTAGTGAAAAGGAAGTTAAAAGAATGATTAAAAGATCAACAATGATTAACAGTGAATAATTTATACATTTTTGTTTTCCTGACGTAAGAATCGCATTTTTAATAAAAAGTTTAAGTTCTCTTGGTTTGATCATTGCATATTAAATCATTCCAGTAAGAAATGATGTGGATTCCCCATAATTTGAAAAACTGATCTAGAGTTTTTAAAGAACTGAATAACTAATTTTACAAACAGATGGTAAAATAACTTTGAAAGTGAATTTACGAAATCTTGACCTATATATTCGAACAAGTTTTTGACCAATAGAAGGAAAATTTGGATGACAACAAGTTTGCCGTTATTTTTAACGGTAGAATGTTCTATAGAATGATAAGGACGTAGGACATTATAGGAAACACAGAGGAAAAAAAAACATTTGCTGATAATAAAATCTGTCAAATAATTGATGCCCAAACAAGAAACGCCTGTGGAGAACAAATATAAAATGTAGAAAAACACATAAAAGTAAACAGAGGCGACATTTCTTCCTGAGCACAGCGGAATGACAATATTCTACATGAATGATGAAAGCAAACAGTTAAATAAGTCTAATAATGAACTCTAATGCTTAATGAAGAAACTAAAAGAATAAATTCAGTTATTTATTCTGATTTTGGTCAAGTTTTGCCAAAATTAATAACAGATTTTTAATCAATCTTATCTACTGGAAACTTTCAAATTACCTACGGTCTGACAAGATAATTTTTCTAAACAGAATTCTTTAATTTACAGATTTCAGTCATAAGAGTTATTACGAAACAAGAAACGCAAATTTTCAAATACTGTTTGGAGCTATATAGTACTCCTTAAAACTTGAGAAATATATGACATATTTACAAATAAAATCATACAGGTCTTAAATTGTTCTTCTTAATCCTTAAATGGTTAAATCTGAATCCTTAAATCCTTAAATGGTTCTTAGAACGTTATATCTTTTGATAAGTATAATCTGATTAACACGAATGTAGTATCATTTTTCATATAGCCTTACTTTTTTACCTTTGTAGACGATCATACTTTAGCTGAATGTACAGGGTGTCCCATAAATGTTGCCATAAACTTCTGGGGGAGGTAGAGCAAGTCATAAGGATTAAGAATTGCATAGGAACCCATTGCCCGGAAATGTCAGGGTTAAGTGGTACTGGAGGTACAAGATGGGAAAGGAAACAAGAGAGTGATTAATTTGAACATTTATTGGACATGAATACAAATGGGGTACTACAGCTTGAATGATACAACAGATGCCCTAAGTTAGCCCCATTAGACGCCAAAGATTCCGGGCACCGACGGACCATTGATTGCCAGACATGTTCAAACAAACCGGGAGTCTCTTTGATTGTAGAAGCTGCGCAGGCGAATCTTGCCACGAGATTCATTTCAGACACAACAGGATCGTGATACACGACACTTTTGATGGTGTCCCACAAAAAGAAATAAAGGCTCAATAAATCCGTTCGGCGTGAGGGCCAGAGAATCGGTCCACCACGCCCAAACCGTCGATACGGAAATGATCTCTTCAAATCGCTACAAGCATCCAGTCCAAAATGAGCAGGCGCTCCATCATATTGGAAACACATGTTCACAAGCTCTCCGCTCGTATAGCGTTCCATGCTTTTCGTATGGGGTCTACCACTCGAATGAGACAATCCTCACTTTCCACTAGCACTCTCCTGTACAACAACACCTGGCGACTACAATGCCGTTTTTAGGTAGGGGTTCCTATGTAATTCTTAATTCTTAGGATGTGCTCTACCTCCCCCAGAAGTTTGTCGCAACATTTAAAGGACACCCTGTATATATAATATCACTTAAAGTTAGTGCTGTATATCCAGCTAAAAATTCGTATGAACTTGATGTTAAATACATGTAGTAACATAAAATGAACGCTTTGCAACAAAAATCCTTTGAGCAATACTTATTGAAATCAAAAGATCAGCTTACTTTATCAGTTCCTACAGCCCTGTACTTTACTGGTATTGGCTGCCATGGAAAATTTGGTAAGAATTCCCAGTTTTGATTAGGAAGATATAACGAAGCCACGTGACAGAGAGCGCTGAGCATACAGCGATTCTTTTCGCTGCTTAACACTTCCACCTAGGAAAAGAGGAAAAAAAGTAGTCTTCAAAAATATACTTAAAACTGTATCATTAAAAAAAAAAAAAAAAAGAAGAAGAAGAAGATACTTATAATGTATTCCTCCCGCCTTCTTAACGAGCCTTCGTGGTGTAGTGATCAGCACACTCAGCTCGTAATAGAGAGGTCCGCGGTTCGATTCCCGGTGAAGCCGTTGCTAATTTTCCAATCTCTCTTGCTTCAAAAAAAAAATACCTAATGTCTCTACACACTTTAAAAGACTAATTTCAATTAATGTTCTAACTACTGCATTAAAAGATAAGATTTTAAGGGACCGATAATTTCGCATTGGAAGTGAAGCTCAGCAATTTTTATCACAAATAATGGTATGAAAAATGTTAGTGTGATTTTTGACATAAGAGTTTCAAACTTTACTAATTTATTTAAAATTTTAAGCTTTCTCTCGAGCGAAACTGTATGTTCAGAATATCTTTTTGAAAAATTTATATTTGGCTTTAATATTAACTTTATATCTACACCTTAATATTAAATTCACAAAAGACTGGTTTTGCCGACATATTTGAAGTTCAACTATAACTTAGATTCAAGGTAGATTTAAATGTAGATAGATATTTAGATTCTGAAGTAGGAAAATGACGATATTAATTACTTAAAGTAACTATTGAAAACGAACTCATTTATGAAACATAATTTGGCATTAGCGAGATTTTACGTTCAGAGTGTTGCCATTGGAAAATTTAGAAATTTTTTCACTGTAGCCATAACCGCGACTTAGAAAGCTCTATTGTTTTAAATCATCACAATCTTGAGCCTTCAAATAACAATATCTGAAGTTTCATTATGGTTGGTTGAGCGGATAGGCCGCTAGGAGTTCATATATTGGAGAAGTTTTTTTATGATCACTCTGTATATCCAAATAACTTTCTGCATTCTACACAGCTATTACAGTACATTACAGCCGTGATTATTATTTTTACAAACTGCCATTCATGTTAAACTGGAATTTGAAATTATTTTACCTCCTCTGGATGTGATGATATGAAGTCCTCATACCTCCAACGTAGTAGCCGTCCCAGCGCATAGCTCTGATATTTACCAAGCTAAAAAAGACAATTCAGTGCATAAGCATCTCTTCAAAAATCTCGAATATTTCAAAAATGAAAGATAACAGAAATAAATTTTTAAAATATCATAATGCGACGATTATGTGTTCTTATAATTATGTAACTTACTGAAAATAATTGCTTTATTTCGGGAAAATAGTAATATAGGTTTTGTCATTTACGATTATGAAAGAATAAATTTTTTTTCATAACGGTAAATGCCTTTTACATGCGTGTCCTGGAAGATTACTACGAACACAGTTATTTTACGTGTATTTTAATCCCTGATATAGAAATACTCGGTATATGACTGGCTTCGACTAAAAAGTACTCACTACAGTACGCTACGGTATGAAATTTTCTAAATAAACTAAATTTTAATTGGTCAAAATAAAAACAAATTCTGAAAGTGAATACATAATATAATTTTTAATAGGTAAATGATTAGCTTTTGCCCCTATATATACTCAGGTCTCTTTTTTTTTGTGCGGTTTTAAAATTATATAATAATTTTAAAAAATAAAATCTGAAAGCTTTTAGATTTGATATTACGCCCAAAGGGTCGTGTTGCGCCTGCGCGCGCATTTCATTACTAGCGTCGGCGCATGCGTCTTGAGCTCTTGGAGTTTGTGACATGAGATTGTGAGCTAAGAGCGTGTGAGAGAATTCGTGGCTTCGAGTGGCCATGAACGATGTAAATTAATGAGAATTAAAGTGAGATATAATACAGTCCATTGTTCCTGAGTTTATTGAATTATAGTGTAGTGCCTGTGCAAAACATCGTGGTCCGTCATGGGCCAGAGATCTATGGATTATGAGTTATATACAAGTAACAAGTAAGTCAGCAGTTTCGATTTAAGAATAAAGTGCCATTTTGTTATTTTGAGATACTGTGTAAGAGTTTTGAGAAAATTTATAGTATTTATATATTGTGTTTAAGTAATTGAGAAGAAGAATTACTTATTATCTTGTGTTATTTCATTAAGAGTACAATGTTGATAAAAGGTGCACTTAAAGAGGATTTAAAGCTATTGGCTTTAGAACTGAATATAGAGTTAAGTGAAAAGATAACTGTTACAGATTTAAATTTAGCGATTAAAAGTAGTGAAGCTTTTAAATCCGATCCAAATTCGGTAATAGAGTTGGGTAATTCCATAGTAGAGCATCGTAAATCTGAAGAAGCTAAAGTATTACAGTTAGAACAAATTAAATTAGAGAGATGTAAAACAGAACTGGAAATTGCTCGATTGCGAGCTGAAACAAAAAGTGTTAATAATGATCAAAACGAAAGTAAAGGAGAAAGTTCCGATTCCTTAGATTCCCTTATTAAAAGTATAAGAACATTAACATTGAAGGTTCCGAGTAAACCTGAAAACTGGAGTTATTTTTTCTCGTCTTTAGAAAGAGCTTTCGCGACAAAAAATGTGCCTGAGAAATCTAAAGCGGAAATATTGTTAAACGTTGTTAGGGGAACGGGCTTCGAACATTATCGTGTATATTAGAGATGAGGAGCTAAGTGACTATGAAAAAGTAAAAGCTATTATTCTAAAAGAATTCGAACCTACACCACAAATTGTTTTAGAAAATTTTAAAAAAGGCTCAACGCCTAAATGAGTCCCATGTGCAGTTCGTGTCGCGATTAACCACAAATTTCGAATATTACTTAAAATTGAGGAAAGTGTCTGATTTTGAAACTCTGAAGCAGTTAATAATATCAGACAAATTGTTTGAAACATTAGATCGAGAAACGTCAGCCCATATTTCTATAAGGCAAGCTGAAAGTTGGTTTCCGCCTCAACAAATGGCAAAAGGAAGCAGATTTATTTTTCACATCTCGCGGAAAGTCCCTTGCCGCAAGTGTGCACAGTTTTCAAAAATCTCGCAGCAATTACAAAACGTCGTCGAAAAATGTTTCAAAGGTATTCCTTGCCGATGTAAAAGGCTTTAAAGTGTGTTCTTTGTGAGGAAAATCATTTTTTGGCAAAATGCCCAAATTTCTTGAGAACAACCGGTGAATGATCGGATTGAAATCATCAAAAGTCATAAATTATGCTTTAATTGCCTAGCATTAAACCATTCCGTCAAAAACTGCAAATCAAAGTTTTCGTGTTCCGTTTGTGGGAAAAGACACCACATGACACTGCATTTTCCGGTAGAAAATAAACCATCGAAAGAGAAGGAGAAAAATAAAAATCGAAACAGCGAGTAGTTCCAGTGTGCTTTCCCCCCTAGCGCCAGACTTTCTGCCTAACAGCGGTAATACTCTACTTACAGCGACTAGTGTAAACAGATCCAAAAAAAGTGTTCTTTTGAGCACGGCTATTTGCTTTATTAGTGATGGTATGGGTAAGCTACATCCAGTCAAAAACATTACTTGATGGCGGCAGTACTTCATCGTTTATAAGCAGAGACTGTGCGAATAAATTCAACTTTGATTATGAGAAGGTAAACATTGCGATTTCCGGATTAAATGATTCCTTGTTTACAATTCGGAAAAAAGTTTCGGCATGCATTAGCAATAAAGATAAAAGTTACGTGAGACATTTAGACTTATTAGTAGTACCAAAAATCACGCAAGATTTGATTCCGTCAAGGAATTTCAAGGAAAATTGATATTAAAATGCAGGATTTTTGTAACATAAAATTAGCTGATGAAAATTTTAATGTTCCAGAACGTATAGAGATGCTTTTAGGAGCTGAGGTTTTCTTTGAGATATTAAAATCTGAACAAATTCGCTATGAAAACTCGAGTCTTATTTTACAAAACAGCGTGTTCGGGTTTATAGTGTCGGGAAGCGTTACATCAGAACAGAGCCGCGTACATTGTGGGTTAATGAAAACATCTAATGACTTAGAACAAACAATGAGAAAATTTTGGGAAATAGAGAATGTTGAAATAGCCATTCCAAAAAATAAAGAAACAGAAACAGCAATATGTGAAGAACATTATGTGCAAACTCATAAGCGGGATGAAGAAGGGAGATACATTGTAACAATGCCACTAAAGGAAGATCCTATTTGCTTAGGAAATTCAAAGGATGTTGCCCTTGAGAGATTAAATTCCCTATGGAAAAGATTAGTTAAAGACCCTGAATATTTGAGTCTGTATCAGGATTTTTTAAAGGAATATGAAGAGCTTGGGCATATGACTGAGGTTGAAAGAGAAAAATGAGCCTAGGGTAGTGTACTATATGCCACATCATGGGATATACCGACCTCAAAAAAAAACAACAACTAAATTGAGAACAGTGTTTAATGCATCATGTTTAACATCAAATGGAATTTCGCTAAATTCTTTACAACGTAATGGAGGGGTTATTCAAGATGATCTCTTTTCAATCATGCTTAGATTTAGAAAGTACCCATTCGCATTTACGGCGGATATTAGAAGAATGTATAGAATGATTAAAATTAACCCTGAACAGAGATGCTTGCAGCGAATCCTGTGGAAAAAAAAAGAAAATGATGCACCTGTGAAAAATCTACGAGCTTAATACTGTGACTTACGGTACAGTTAGTGCGCCATACTTAGCTATGAGAACTCTTAAACAATTGTCGATTGATGAAGGTCCAAAAATTTCCATTAGCTGCGCCAGTCTTACTTAAAAACTTTTATATGGATGATGTGCTTAGTGGAGCGGAATCTTTGAGTACAGCTAAGGAGCTTAAATCTCAGTTAACTGCAATACTGAAGAGTGCAGAAATGACACTGCACAAGTGGTGCTGAACTTGCGGAAGAAGATCACTCCTATTCCTTTCCTAATGAAGCAGAATCTACAACACTTTGAGTGTCTTGGAGGTCTAGAAGAGACTGTTTCTGTTTTAGAGTGAAACTCGATAATGACATAGTTAGTTGTTACCAAACGACAGATATTGTCCACAATTGCAAGATTGTTTGACCCGATTGGTTTACTAGGGCCAATCATAAGTAAAGCCAAAATATTCCTCCAACGATTGTGGTTGTTAAAGCTGAATTGGGATGAATCACTACCAAAAAAGGAAGCTGATGAGTGGAAGAAGTTCTCTACTGAACTGGAAGTTTTAAGTAAGTAAAATAGAAATTGAAAGGTTTTATTCTTATTGCAGAAGTAGACTATGTGGAACTTCATGGATTTGCAGATGCCTCTGAGGTAGCATACGGAGCAACCATATATTGCAAGTGCCGTTCGAGAGATGGAGAAGTGAAGACAAGGCTAGTGACGAGTAAATCCAGAGTCTCGCCTATTAAAACGAGTTACTATTCCGAGACTGGAGCTTTGTGCGGCAGTCCTACTTGCAAGGTTGATGGTTAGAGTGGTTAGAGTAATATCTGCATTAGAGATTCCTGTGAACAAAGTTTATCTGTGGAGTGACTCCATGATCGTGCTTTCATGGATACAAAAGGAGCCTTACCAGTTGAAGACATTTGTTGCAAATCGAGTGGCAACAATTCAAGAGTTGACTAATGGTCATCAATGGCGTCATGTGTCTTCAAAGGAGAATTCGAGTGACCTTATATCCCGAGGCTTGGATCCCAGTAAACTTCTACAAAATGATATGTGGTGGAAAGGCCCTCTGTTCCTGAGATACGACGACTACCCAAATAGAGAGATTCCGGTGGAAGTCATTGTGAAGGACTTTCCAGACGAACTTAAAATCCTTAGTGACTCTAATATTTTTCTTAATGTGAAAGCTTGCTTAGTTGCAGTAGAATAAATATGTTATTAATGTTTAAATCTGCATCGTATTATTAATGGATATATTCGTCATAACATCAACTTAAGTTTCGGAGATTTCACTGCGCTGCTGAGTGCACAAAAGGTAAGCTAAACTTAGCTATCTTTATTCTTCACCTTTTCTTTAATTTGTTGTTCGATTCATTGTTGAACGCAGAAAATCTTTCTTAGATTTCTCCAATTCTGTTTTCAACCATGTCAATTCTGTCTTCCATACCTTCAAATTTGTTTTCTATTATGCATGTAATTTCGCTTTTCATTCCCTCTTGCCCTGCTTCAATC